CCTAGTCAAACCTAAACAGCCAGACAAAACTACCAAGGTTTCACCTAAGCGGATCATCAGGAAAGCTATATATATATATATATATATATATATATATATATATATATATATATACACTGAAGATATCCTTGAGTCTTTTCATATATTTATCAAAAGTCCTTAAAGATGTAGGTGAATAGATTACCTGCGTTCGTACAAAACGCCTACCTCCTTTTAAATTTCCATTGTACAATCATTCTTCTTCATGTGTTATTGTTTTACATAACTTGTACCTATCTTTACTATTTTTTTTCCTCGTGTTCTTTCCCCTGTCTTTTTCTTTGGTTTGGACATTTTCTATCATTTGGTGCATACTTATATATGCTATACAACACACACAGTCACATCAATATATATATATATATATATATATATATATATATATATATATATATATATACCTATCTCTCTATCTGCACACATGCCCCAATACTTTTCAATATCTATTTGAAGATAAATGATGCCAATGTAAATAGTGAAGAAGCATTATTGGATTTTATATAGGCAGCTACTTCTAGAGTTCTATTGAAGATGAATCCACTAAACTTTGAAACTACAAAACTACTCGTGGAAGTGTAGATTTGTCGACAGCAATTTCCGCCTGCAAAACGCTGGTTTCCATGTTTCACGGTATCTCCTTTGGAAGATGTATGGTTCATTGAATTAACTTCAGATATCAGCTTGAGATGAAGCAAACGTTTTCAACATCTTTTTTTTTCCATAAATATACAAAATACACTATTCCAATTATGAATTATTTTCGTTGGATTTCCATCAACTTTGAATTCTTTCTATTAAATTTCCTCACCGATAACAACAAAAAAAAGTAAAAATAAAAGATTCAGGTTTTGATTCGATGGTTTATTTCAGAAATCTTTCAATATCTTCAACATTCTTAATTTCCATACTGACAAGAGACATTGCTTCAGAGAAACAACCAATCTAAGTGTAGCAGGAGTGGAGTACAGTGCTGTTCGATAAAAGTGACTCACCTGATTTTTTTTTACTGAATGTTCTCTTCTCCAATGAAACGAAAGTTGAGCTAAATTCAAAGGATAAGCGATCTAAAATCCGAAGAAGAAGCTTTGAAAGCTCTTTGAATTTAGCAGTAAGTACTGTCAAGAATCCGTTCAGTATCATGTTCTGAGGATGATTTTCTTTTCATGGAACTGTTTTTTTAAAACCTATTTAAAAGACCCTCAAGAGCGAGCAGTACAAGAGAATTTTAGTGTCTTGTCTGCTCCCTTCTGCTAAAAGGGTGCAAATCGACCCAACCAATCTAATTTTTATTCAGGATAATGCTCCCTGTCACAAATCAAAATTGATGAAGTAATACTTTGAAGTAATATTTAGTAAAAAAAATCAGGTGAGTCACTTTTATCGAACAGCACTGTATAAACACCATCGTTAGAAAAAACTTCTCATCACAACACTCTGATAATTTGTTACATCTTATTTCTAATTTTGGTCTACTTTGTTGCATTTATATTCGCACAAATACATTTAGGGAATATATGAATTCATTTTCTACCAGCTTCTAGATATATAGTATTGTAGACTAGTCTATCTAGCTTAGGTTGGCAAGTAGACTAAGAAGAATTCCAAACCAGCTCAGGAAGCCTCTTCTCTTCTCCAAAAATGCATTGCTATTCACAGATAAAGAAAAGGGAATCTGCGGAGAAGACAACGGGAAACCACTCCATTATCTTTCCCAAGAATTCATGGCAGTTCACAGATAATAAAGAAGAGGAATGTGTGGAGAAGGCAAGAGGAAAACACCCCAATATATATCCCAAGAATACATATACATAGCAATTTACAGTTAATAAAGAAAAGAAATCTGTGCAGAAATTAACGGGAAACCACTATAAAATCCTTCCCAAGAATGCATGGCAATTCACAGATAATAAGGAAACGGTATATGTAGAGAAGACAACGAGAAACCACTCAAATATCTTTCCCAAGAATGCATGTCAATTCACAGATAATAAAGAAAAGGGAATCTGTGGAGAAGGCAACAGGAAACCACTCCAATATCTTTCTCATAATGCATGGCAATTTACAGATAATAAATGACAATCTCTCCTAAAGTAACGTTGCATTTAAAATATATATATATATATCGTTCATAACCTTATGGAGAGTTTCTTTGTCTGTGTTGTATTTTGATCCAGCGTCAAATTGGAATTCGAAATATTTATTTCATTGGTTATTGTGTAGGGACCCTTCAATCCATTCAGATACAAAAATTGCTGCACGCATTTTAAAGATGTGTTGCACTCCGATTGGTCTGTTACGATGCTGAATCACCAGATTCTAAACCAATCAAAAAGTGACATGACAGTAACTGCAGTTGCGAAGTACATATGAAATAAAGATGAAAACATGACTTTCATTCCTTCACCATCAGAGAAATTAGGAATTGTCTTTCTTTCTTTTCTTTTCAGCTACGATGTTACACCTGTTTTGTTTATATCGAATCCAGACAACAATAATTGGAAATATTCAGACACAAGTAGTTTTCTGATAGTTTTCTTCCCTATAAGGCGCGATTACTTCTGTCAGATACCACCCTGGAATTTATGGCTTTCTATTGGCGATTTTTAATTCTCCTAGAGAGATGATGCCTTCACTACGGCATCATCTACCAAGATTTTTTGTTGCGAAATAGGGAAGATCTGAAATCAGAGTTCTCTTAGATGAACTGTCGTCCCAGGCTAAAATCTATTCAATTTAACCTTATGGTCCCTAGCATTCTCAAGCGGTACAACTTTTAACAACCGACTACGTTCGACGCTGATTAACTTCGGTAATCGGACGACAACAGACACATTCAGCACCACATGTCCATAAGCAATTTTAATTATTAAAGTCTGCACTTCTTACCTACTCTTACGTCCATACAACAACGTCATTCAGTAACCGTCTATTTTGAGTACCTATTGGGTCTTGTCTGGAGTGAACAGTAGTAAAAATGAATTAGGTGCACTGACAAGGAATTAAATTATTCTGTAAAAGAAATATTTTATTATGCCTATCCATATAAATTCATGCATGTACACACCCGCATACATTAAAAGACATACAGAAATATTATTAGGTCGGTGCAAAAATAATGACGTAATAATGTCGTTTTTTGACGTTACGTCAAAAAACGACGATAATATCATATTCACCAACCTAATACATATTAGATATTGTTAATATTAAAAGACTTTTAATTTTTTTCAGATTTTTTTTTTTTTTTTTTTAACTAAGTAAAAATTCTGGTGAATAAGCTGTCCAAGGAGGAAATCTCACTGCGATAAATTCTTCCGCAGCACTGTTCATTTATGGAACAGCCTCCTGAACGTATGTTTCCCGGATCACAAGGATCTTAACCTCTTCAAATTTAGGGTTAATCGTTATTTATCCTATATATGTTTATACCTTTCTTACTTAATCCATCAACAAAAATCAGGTACACTCTACCTTTAATGGCTCTTGGGCATTGTTTTGGGTGAAAAATAGTATAAATAAATTACGCCATTTAATATGAATCCGTTATATTTAACGGTATCATCAGAAGTTCTGAGAACGCAACTCAAGTAAATGAAGATATTCAGTTATGTGTCATGCGTGATAAGCGCTTAGGCGATCATGTATCTTTCGATATATGACTGACGAGGCAGATTTTTTCCTGCAGTAGATTGCCATTTCTTTCTGCGGTAGACCAGTTGCCATGCTATAGAATCTGTCCTGCTGGGTAAATAAGGTAGTTGAACAATCATCCTTACATTTTGGCAGGGAATTGATTATATCTGTTGTATACTATTTTGGGATATCTTATCGCGTGCTCTTTTTACTTTTTACTTAATTTTTGTTTGATATGTTTCTCATTTTAAAGACAAAACACCAGATATGTACAGCACGATTCATAATTTATTTAAGAGTTAGGCTTCTAGTTGTGTTTTAAGCAGTGCGACAGGGATCTCTCGCATAAAAAAGAGTTGCTTTTGCAGTTAAAACTGATGGTATATAGAGTGATTTTCTAAGCATAACTTACGTGGCAGAAGGCCAAACGTGGGAACACCCAGTGAGGATCAAATTCACTTCTCAATTGCAATTGATCTAGTGAAACAAGGCTTGCTAACCATTACACAGAGAGTAAATCTGTTTTCAATCAATCTATATTCGTACTTACTATGCACATGAAATTAATGTTAAGAAATTGGTTGCCATAATTGATTTTTCTGTATAGAGAAATCACCAACGAGTGTGCGTTTCTAATTATTTATATTACGTTCTTGTATAAAAGATGGTAAACATTTCTCGATTCAAGATCTATTTCCCAAAATATTACCAAGCATCACATTTCTTTTTCTGGGAATGTTTCTTACATTTACCAAGAACTTCCAAACTCTTTCTTGAAAATAGTAAAACAATGAACTAATATAATAGAAGCAAAACCCGATTTAAGTCAACATATTTGAGCGTATATGAACATTCATTTCGTGACACAAGTCCTGCAAAAGTTTTGGGATATATTCTTAAGTCCTCTCTTGGCTGCATCTTACTTGCAATGGTCGTCATAAGGCGTAAATTTAAAATATTGCAAAAGAAACACTTAATAGAAAGTCTTATTCTTAAAATATCTGTCGAAATCTGCTGTTGAAATCTCTATACTTCTCTCTTCAACAGAGCGTTAAGCTTGAAATTACTTATTTTAAAAATAAAACAAACAAAGCAACACTTATAATTTTCTGTTTGTTTTCTTTACTCGCCAAACACACGTGCAACGCTGGTAAGAAATAAGAAAACATGCAGAAGCGAAAGAGTAGAGGGGAGACATGGTGGCCGAGAGGAAGAAATATAAAACAGCAGAAAAACTTTTGTAGCAAAAAAAGTAACGTTAAGGGCTGAAATGTTTGCAAGAAAACGAAAAGGAAAATTGACGGGAAGAAGAGTAAAAGTAATAAAGATCAAATTATGAATAAAAAAAAAAAATGAAATAATGGAAAATAATGATAAACTTCTTTAAACAAATATAGAAAGGAAAAGAAAGCCGAAAGAAATATTGTTAATGGCGGCAAAAAATGAAGAAAAAATAAAGAAAACGTATAATTAGTGAAGATAATTAAAAAAAAGAAATGAATAATACAAAATATGAAACCAAAACAAAGAAATAAAAATGAAACTGATAGAGTGCTATAAAAAAAAGAAAATGAAAAAAAAGAGCAAAAAAAGAAAAAAAAAAGAGCACCAAAACAATATAGGGAAGAAACGAAATATTTGTACTGAAAGAAATAAGGAAATAAATAAATAAGGAAGGAAAGAAAGAAGAAAGTAAAAGGAAGAAAAGAAAGTAATAAGGAAAGAAAAAAGAAAGAAGGAAGGAAAAAAGGAAGGAAGGGAAGAAGGACAGAAATAAGGAAGGAAGGAAATGAATTAAGGAAAGAAGGAAAAAAGAAGAGATAAGGAAGGAAGGAAAGAAAAAGAAAAGAAGGAAGAAAAAAAAAAAAAAAGGAAAGAAAGGAAGGAAGGAAAGAAAAGAAAGAAAAAAAAAATGAAAAGAAAGAAAGAAAAAATAAGGAAGGAAGGAAAAAAAAATGAAAGGAAAGAAAGAAAAAATAAGGAAGGAAGGAAAGAAATAAGGAAGGAAAGAAAAAAGAAAGAAAAAAATGAGGAAGGATAGAAAGACAGAAATAAGGACGGAAAAATAAATAAATAAATAAATAAATAAATAAATAAATAAAGACTGTTAAAATAGAATAAAGCAAATAAAACAAAAGTAAATATTAAAAATAGGAAAGCAGAACAAATAATTCAAAATGAAATAACGGATATATTGATAGATTGATATAAAGAAAGCTAAAAAGAAAAAAAAGATTATCAAAACAAAAAAAGGACAAAACGAAATATTAGAAACTGTGCAAAGAAAGAAAGAAAGAGAGAAAGAAAGAAAGAAAGAAAGAGAGAAAGAAAGAAAGAAAGAAAGAAAGAAAAACTAATAAACGAAAGCAAGAAAATGGATAAAATCTTGTCAGAATGAAAGGTGATAAATAAAAAAATTTACAAATAAACAGAAAAAAAATAATTACAGCAACAATGTGGTCAATAAATAAATAAATACCTCAATGACAGCAAACGAAAGTAATAAATAAGAAAAATGAAAAAATAAAACAAAAAAAATCATGGAAATAACGTAAATGAGAAAAAAATGAGAGCAACAAAAAAGATTGAATCTCAGAAATAAAAAGATACGAAAGTAAAGGATAAATACGCGATGAATAATTACGCATATCAATAAAGCATTGAACACGAAAAGAAATAAGACAAGAAGATCAACTGCTGGTGTGCTAAAGGCCTTCATGCAAGAAATACAAATCAAGCATATTGCCGAAGTAAAAAAGAAAATGACATCCTATCGAGATAAAGTTTCGCAAAATCTACTGATTTATATGTACTTAGTCCTATAATAAAATTTTGCAAACCACATACCAAACGTAAAACAAGCAAGCCGCACGATTTCCCGCGCTTTTCAGTTTTGATGTGTACGTCGTTGAAAAACAAAAGAACACAAACAATGCGTTAATGTTTTGAAAGATCTCGAGTTATATTGCACTAGAACGTAGTGAAATCTTATAAAGAAAGTGTTATATAGTAATAAAGTGTCGCTGTCGACACTTGAGTTTGGACATAGATCGCCAGTGAATAAACACAGCCGATCCCATTATTGAATTAAGTAGACGCTGTACCATAGAGAAAACGCATAAGTAAAAAGTCGAGTGACATCTAATTGATCGTTATTTTTATTCTATCCTCTATTACTATTCGGATCGTCATTTCTACTCTATCCTCTATTACTATACGGACGGCTGTATTTTTCAACGGCGTTACTATAGTTTTATCTGCGATTATAAAGTCTCTACTACAACGAGCATTACGAAAGTGACAACGAGTATTCGTTGGCATCACAGAAGTCGCATCTAGTGTTCGTTGACATCACAAATGTAAAAAAGTCAAAAGAAAAAATTAAAGGGTAAGCATAACGGGAAAAATATGAAAAAACGAAATAAATATTTAAAAAAACTAAATAATCAGCAAAGGGGACGGTATTTCTATCTTTATTTCGAATGGCTAGACCGTTTTCAATAGTTTATTGTAGCACAGGTCTCAGACAAACCGTGCCAAATATTGTCCCTACGCCGGTATGCTTTGCATAAATATCCTTCGACTGATCTTCGGGTAACGTTTAAATATAAGTTCTTTGTCAAAACTGACATCAGCCTTAATCCCTTATACTAAGTAATGTCTTTGTTATGAGGTTAAAAAAGTAAATCATATTTTGTTAGTGAATGCAAATTGTGCTTTGATCCCGCTAGCCATGACCACTATTACGAAATAAAATATTCGCACGATGTTCTGACTGAAGCTCTTGGATGTAATTATTGACAGACGTCAATATTAACTATATGGATCCCGTTACATGTTACTTATTTTCGTGACAGGAAAGGTAATTATAGCAGAGTGGTCTGTACAAGTGTTCACACAAACTCTCTTTTCTATGAAACAATGCATAGACCATTCGTAAGTGCATCATATGAATTCGAAATTCAAATTCGGCTCACTAATTTTGTATTGTGTGCGAGTCAGCTAAACATTAATCTGCACCAACAAATAAAATAATGGATTTTTTTTTCAGGCCAAGATCCCTCATTTCTATTGCTATTATCACAGCGTTTTAGACGATTGTGAGTAAGGCCCTTCTCGAGCGTGAAGTTTTTAAGAATGTTGAGCTTAAGAGTTTTTATTCGACTATATTAGTGGTTGACTTCCTTGCCCAGGAAAAGTATTTCTCTGTCCGTATGCATTAAACAAAAGAATCATTTATGCGCTTTAATAACAATTTCCTTAAACGGAGAAATGAGATGAACGAATAGACACCTATCGGCGAGATTGACAGTATCATCTGCAGTAGGGTACAATCTCTCTCTCTCTCACTCTCTCTCTCTCTCTCACTCTCTCTCTCTCTCTCTCTCTCTCTCACACACACACACAACACAAAAAAAAAAAGAAAGAAAAGGAAAAGGAGCCATCTATCAAAAAGGATTTTACAGTGTCAGGTAGGAACAAAGATTGCTTACACGACTCAAGTCTAAATACAACAAATATTTAGTCAAGAACCCAAATATCAGCTCATTGCAAAAGTTCGTGCCTCGCATTGCATTATTAATATAAAATGATCGCAATTTGCAAATAGTATTTGTTTTGGTGCCGATTGAAACCTTGCATCGTTCACTTGCGAGCCAGACTTTGTTGAATGTCGACGTTTTGTCCATAGATAAATGCCTGAAACATGGAGAAAGAATAGTTGCAATTGGGTCATATTATGAATTTCGGAAAGGTGTCAGTGTCCAAGTTCTTCATATGTTCAAGAAGTGGTTTGTCAGATTTCGTCAGGGTTATTTTAACCTAAAATTTCAACCTCGCCCCGGGCGATCTTCGGATGTCGATGAAGACGCTCTGCTTGCCATCGTAGAGAATAGACCGAAGATTTCAACGGAAGACATTGCTGAGACGTAAAAATCTGTATCGCAACTGTCTTTGAAGAGATTTGGATGCAAGAAAAACGGCCAATTTTGGCAAATCGAAAAGTTGTCAATTACCACCACGACAACGCAAGTCAGTCTTTGCAGAGTTTTTAAGAGTTGAAAAGAAAAACTACCAGTAACCACCGTATTCTGCTCACTTGGATCCTTTGAACTTCCATTTGTTTTGGCCTCTGCATAATTTAAATAATAAAAAATTGACTCTGTACATTCAGTCGGAAATTACGGTACAGCTTCATCCCAAGAAAGAGAAAAAACATGATGATTCTATGAAAATGGCATCAACAAGTTTGTAGAACGATGTCAAACAATTGTTAAAAAAATAATGGAGACTATATACTTCGATATAATAAATGCTAATGTCTGTGTATCTGTGTGTCACACTTTTGTAAATTTACTCCTAGTGGCTTTAACCCAACATATACTATTTTGGAATCAGACCGACTCCGTGAGCAAATCAAAAACATTCCGGGTCGGATCCGAATTCACAATCCTGAAATTTTCGTTTCCCAAATTTTCATTACTGCGACTGATTTCGGATTCCGCCATCTTGGTTTTACTGATAAAAACAATTAAAGGTACACAACTTTTCAATTTTCAATAGCTCATGTTCAAATAAAAAAAAAAGTCTTCTTCTCAAATTATAGTGTTTCAAAAAGGAAATTGTCGGTGTTTTCAACTTTACTCCTAGAAACCGTAGTTCATTATATCATACCATTTTGAAATCAGACCGACACCGTGGGCAAATTCAAAACATTACGAGATGGATTGGAACCGCAATCCTGAAATTTTGGATTCCAAAACTTTTATGTCTGCGATTGTTTTTTCCACATTTTTTACGTGATTTTTGCGACGAATTTTTTTGTATGATAACAGTTTTTATAAATTGGAAATAAATTTGTGAATAATTTAAATTATTGCGTAATCCATCGAATGTCATCCATGAAAAAAAAATGTTTGTACTGAAAGTAAGGACCTACGTACATCAAATTGTCTTTAAATTAAGTGGCGGCAAAAGAATTATCGTTGAACTTTTAAAAGCTAAGCTTAGATATTAATGCGATACGTAAATGCAATTTTGAGTTCTTCTGTAGTTTTATTATTGCTTATCGTATCTATGCCACTCTACTGTTGTCCTATTGTTATGAAGGCCCAAATCAAATCCATTCGCAGAGCGGCTTTTAAACTTGTTACTAATAAATGTAAAATTTTGTTTTTAATTATCTAACTGGGCACGCACTTTTTCAATGGTCTAATATAAACGCAAATAAAATTTATCATATTATAGGCATCCCTATAGCATGCTCTTCTTGTTTGTTAACTTCAAATTTTTTGGTGGTTTTGCCGTTCGGCCTTCTTCAGATGTCAAACTTGGAAACCTTTTTGGGATTTTGAAACGAACACTTTATTTAATACACTGTTTAGCGCTACGTAATACAGGGATTGAACTGACAACAACCTGTGTAGCAGGCATACCTTAAGCAACGATTTAACATTAAAGTTATTTAATACACGTGATGAATCATCATCATCATCATCATTTATCCCACGGCTGCATGCAGTCGTAAGATTGCTGGGTAGGAGGTCACCAGCTCAGTTCCTTCCAATTTCGTTCCAATGTCTGAATTGAAAGAAAAAGAAGTAATAGTCGTGTGTAACGTATCTTGGGTAGATACATCTGAAATTATCCAAGTCAAAACACAACCGATATCCTCCTACTTGAAGGCTCGACTTGGTCACGCACACATGGCAATTAATTCCATCGAGGGAACACTCTCTGCTAGTTGCTGAATTCACCCAATGAAGCACTACCCCCGTTGTGATACGGTGTTATCACCACGCTGAATATACTGCCAGTAGTTCAGTTCCACGTGCAGATTGAGTATGACAGCCGGTCGAAGCTCGCAGTAATTGCGGTCTCTAAATTGGCTTCAAAACTGCTGAGAGCCTCGGAACCAATACATTTGACCGCATAATACGATGAAGATATATATATATATATATATATATATATATATATATATATATATATATATATATGGTGAACTGGACGTATGAGGGCCAACCGGCTCATATGATTTCGTTATAGTGATGAAGGTTTTGTGCAGAACCGAGCACACTTTTTGGCGAGCTGGATACAAAAAAACTGGTGCACCGTGTGCCATAAAGGTCCCCAACCGACCCTCCTCAGGTTTTGAATTCAGAGTTATTCTTCTCCTAGACCAGTTGCCATCCAAGGCTACAGAACCCTGTCTGTCCTGCTATTTACTCATATATATATATGTGTGTGTGTGTGTGTGTGCATATTGACACACACACATTATTATTATTATTATTATTATTATTAGAATTGTTTAAATTGTAATGGATGTAATCAATAAATTACAAATATAATAGGTATAAACAAAATAATAAAATAATATTCCACTATATGACCAATTATTTTTAGTGTTTTTAAAACAATTGTTTAAATGCTAAATAATACAAAATAATCGATTATGCAAAACAAATACTAAGAATAAACTTTGCAAAACAAAAGTTAGTGATAATAGTTAATAGTTAATAGAGCCAGAGGTTCTTAACAATATTTCTCAGATACTTCCGAATTAAACGAACAGAATCAATGGTAAAATCAAATAATATATTTTTATTTATTTGACTTCTGTTGTAGCGAGTCATTTGTAATTCTTGCTAGTGAAAGTTGGGTATTTGATAGTTGATAGTCTTTAGTTGAAATCATTTTTTGTGGTTAGTATCGGGAGTGTTATTACTTTTGAAATAGGTGAGGCGTCACGATGCGTCTATTCTCGGCCTTGAAAAGGGCGGAACTTTTTTAAGCACTGCTTAGAATCTTTACGCGGCACGCTTGGATGGTTTCTCTGGCGGTCTTTTCCCTCCATCTCTGCCTATCGGTTGTCTTTTTAAATACCACTGAAGAAAGTGCTCTAGAAAACTGGCACGAAACTTGATTTTGGCTAACATCAAAAGTCTCTCTTTGTTTTTACATTTTTTTTTTCGATTAGCCGACATTTTCCAGTTTTCCATTCTTTTTCATCTTTACTTTGGCAGATTTCTAATCACAATGATTCGCCCTTGCATGAAGTATTGCTGCCATATATGGTCTGGAGCCCCTTCTGTTTGTCTCAAGCTCCTTGATAAAATTCAGAGACGGATATGCAATGTAATTGGCCCTGATCTGGCATCTCGTCTGCAGTCGCTTTCTCACAGACGTGCCGTCGCCTCTCTCTGTGTTTTTTACAAATACTTTCACAGTAACTATATTTACCGATGAGCTACTTTCACTTGTTCCCAGACTTCATGAATTTAAGCGTTCAACTAGGCTGACATCTCGCTCTCACACCTTCACTATTGAAACTGTTAAATGTAGTCGACTCTTTTAATCCAATATCTTCATGTCTCGCACTTTTCGCCTGTGGAACTCCTTCCCCTTTTCTTGCTTCCTTGATAGCTATATTCTCCAGCTATTCAAATGTAATGTCAATCGACGTCTCCTGATGTCTTGATCAATCTCCTATCCTTCTATTCATTCTTTCCCCCATCACTCCTCTTTGCTCTCGCTCCAACTCTCTGTAACTTCTTGCGTGCTAGTGGTTTCCCACCTTGCTTGGGGTGAAACGCTTAAAAAAATTAGACTCATAGACAAGATAACCTCC